ACTTGTTTTTCTCCCAAAGAAAAGTGGGGGGTTTTGTATACTTATGTACTGGAACCCCCCTCGCCCAATGCCCCCCCCACCACCCCACGCTTCGTGTCTTCCAATTTGATGATAAGGAGATTTTTACTTTGTTACTCACCCCCCCTTTTTTTTTCACTTGACCACAACTTTGCCAGCAATCTCGCTCCAAGTGGTCAGAAGGGGTCAAACAAACTTTAAATTGTAGAGAAGCCCTCAGCCTCACCCATTAGAGCAGGGGCAGTCTGTGATATTCATAGCTACAGACCTTAAGGTGACTAGAATGGAAATTTTACAACCTCAAGAAAGCACTGCCTCACTCCCCCCCTGGCACGAAACCAAGATCCTAAAGAGGGGAGTGTTATCAGATCCGCCTAACGGGCCAGCCCTCAAAAAAAGCTCCTCCACCCTGAAAGTCTCACAGTGCAAACCTTTCAGCACCGACGAAAAAAGGACCAAGAAAAAAGGCCCTAAAAATGCCTGCAGACGTGCTGCCAAGAAGCCCATGCAAAACGAACCATGAAGAAAAAACAGCTTCAGTTCTGCAAGAAGTACAAGGATTGGACTCAGCCCCTGGGAATTGGTGATCAGTGATGAAGTACCTTTAGGCCCTCGGACACTCTAAGACCACCCATTTTCCCCGGGTGTGTCCTTTATGACCCATGGGATGTCCCGAAGACAGTGAGACCCTGACAGTGTTTTGGTCCGGGTACTTTTAGTTTATAAAAGGGAGAGGTGACTGTACTATTTTCATAAGAACATTTCTATGACGGGAAGAAATTATATTGAGGTTTAAGGGGCCACATGTGACATTTTGGGAAAATTCAGGGGTGTGTTTTTTTTATTCTCTGATGCCCCCGCCCATAAGTCAAAAGAGTGAAAAAGTTCCTTGAGGACAATAATATCCTTGTTTTGGAGTGGCCAGGCAATTCCCCTGACCTAAATCCTTCGAGAATGCCTGCGGGATAAAAAAAGATTGCTAAAGCTCAAAACCCCCCAACACACGACCTGAAGGGGGCCTGAAAAGCTTTTGGGTCAAAAGGGCACCTCCTTTTCTCCCCCCTCACCATTTCGATGCCCAGCGACTTTAAAATGGTGTAAAGAACAAAGCACGATCAAGTACTAGTTGGATGCTAAAAAGTGAAAATAAAATACATGTACATATATTAAGTTACATTTTTTCATTTTATTGTTAATGTATAGATTTTTTTGTGGCCACTGTACATGCATATGTAGTGTGACCTAAGTGTAAGTAGAAAGAGCAAGATATACCTGTTATCCCATGTGTTTATATGACAGAAAAAACACCAGCAATCCTACAGGTTTCCACTTCACACTAACTATATGATTCTTTCTTTCAATGCACCAGCTGTATCCCACTGAGGTGGGGTGGCCCAAAAGGACAAACGAAAGTTTCTCATTTTAAATTTAGTAATATATACAGGAGAAGGGGTTACTAGCCCCTTGCTCCCGGCATTTTAGTCGCCTCTTACGACACGCATGGCTTACGGAGGAAGAATTCTGTTCCACTTCCCCATGAAAAACTATATGATTATGATGATATTAATTAAAGTAAACCATCAGATTAATAAGCCTTGAGTTGATGGACTTAGGAAATACAGGACAAAATCTTCTGGGTTGGTTGATTCTGAATTATTTATTTATTTATTATCACACCGGCCGATTCCCACCAAGGCAGGGTGGCCCGAAAAAGAAAAACTTTCACCATCATTCACTCCATCACTGTCTTGCCAGAAGGGTGCTTTACACTACAGTTTTTAAACTGCGACATTAACACCCCTCCTTCAGAGTGCAGGCACTGTACTTCCCATCTCCAGGACTCAAGTCCGGCCTGCCGGTTTCCCTGAATCCCTTCATAAATGTTACTTTGCTCACACTCCAACAGCACGTCAAGTATTAAAAAAACCCTTTGTCTCCATTCACTCCTATCAAACACGCTCACGCATGCCTGCTGGAAGTCCAAGCCCCTCGCACACAAAACCTCCTTTACCCCCTCCCTCCAACCCTTTCCCAGGCCGACCCCTACCCCCGCCTTCCTTCCACTACAGACTGATACACTCTTGAAGTCATTCTGTTTCGCTCCATTCTCTCTACATTCCGAACCACCTCAAACAACCCTTCCTCAGCCCTCTGGACAACAGTTTTGGTAATCCCGCACCTCCTCCTAACTTCCAAACTACGAATTCTCTGCATTATATTCACACCCCACATTGCCCTCAGACATTTACATCCCACGCCTCCAGCCTTCTCCTCGCTGCAACATTCAACAAACCCCCGCTTCACACCCATATAAAAGCGTTGGTAAAACTATACTCTCATACATTCCCCCTTTGCCTCCAAGGACAAAGTTCTTTGTCTCCACAGACTCCTAAGTGCACCACTCACTCTTTTTCCCTCATCAATTCTATGATTCACCTCATCTTTCATAGACCCGTCCGCTGACACGTCCACTCCCAAATATCTGAATACATTCACCTCCTCCATACTCTCTCCCTCCAATCTGATATTCAATCTTTCATCACCTAATCTTTTTGTTATCCTCATAACCTTACTCTTTCCTGTATTCACCTTTAATTTTCTTCTTTTGCACACCCTACCAAATTCATCCACCAATCTCTGCAACTTCTCTTCAGAATCTCCCAAGAGCACAGTGTCATCAGCAAAGAGCAGCTGTGACAACTCCCACTTTGTGTGTGATTCTTTATCTTTTAACTCCACGCCTCTTGCCAAGACCCTCGCATTTACTTCTCTTACAACCCCATCTATAAATATATTAAACAACCACGGTGACATCACACATCCTTGTCTAAGGCCTACTTTTACTGGGAAAAAATTTCCCTCTTTCCTACATACTCTAACTTGAGCCTCACTATCCTCGTAAAAACTCTTCACTGCTTTCAGTAACCTACCTCCTACACCATACACTTGCAACATCTGCCACATTGCCCCCCTATCCACCCTGTCATACGCCTTTTCCAAATCCATAAATGCCACAAAGACCTCTTTAGCCTTATCTAAATACTGTTCACTTATATGTTTCACTGTAAACACCTGGTCCACACACCCCCTACCTTTCCTAAAGCCTCCTTGTTCATCTGCTATCCTATTCTCCGTCTTACTCTTAATTCTTTCAATTATAACTCTACCATACACTTTACCAGGTACACTCAACAGACTTATCCCCCTATAATTTTTGCACTCTCTTTTATCCCCTTTGCCTTTATACAAAGGAACTATGCATGCTCTCTGCCAATCCCTAGGTACCTTACCCTCTTCCATACATTTATTAAATAATTGCACCAACCACTCCAAAACTATATCCCCACCTGCTTTTAACATTTCTATCTTTATCCCATCAATCCCGGCTGCCTTACCCCCTTTCATTTTACCTACTGCCTCACGAACTTCCCCCACACTCACAACTGGCTCTTCCTCACTCCTACAAGATGTTATTCCTCCTTGCCCTATACACGAAATCACAGCTTCCCTATCTTCATCAACATTTAACAATTCCTCAAAATATTCCTTCCATCTTCCCAATACCTCTAACTCTCCATTTAATAAATAAAATCCAAAGGTTACAGGATTGTGACTAATAGACTTTATCATCATTACAAAACAATCTCATCTCTATATATTATCACCATTACTAACTACCTATTCTCCTCAGTTGGTCTGTTAAATTTAAGGCTTACTACATATACTATTCTGTGTTTAAATTCATGAAATCATTACTCAAGGAAACTACTACATTGAGAACACATACATGGAAAACTGACAGGTGCTGCATGTCCATACACAGTGAACCCCCGCCATACGAACGCATCGCGTTACGTTAAATCCGCCATACGAAGCATTTGAACGCAAAAATTTTGCCTTTCCTCACGATAAAAAAACTTGCCTTATGTGATTCGTCCAGGATGCGTCCCACGTGTGGCCTCAGCGCCAGTGTTTACAAGCCAGCCAGTGCGGTGCATTCGGTACATTTCACATTATCCCAGTGTTTTTAGTGCTTGTAACTGCAAAATAAGTCACCATGGACCCCAAGAAAGCTTCTAGTGCCATCCCTGTGGTAAAAAGGGCGAGAATTAGTATGGAATTGAAAAAAGAGATTAAGGAAATGTGTGCAAAGTGGGTTGAACTGCAGACCTTTACGGATGAAAATCACCGACACAGCTACTGCAAGCCGTGTCGGCAACCTGTACAATGACAATGTTATGGCTCATTTTAGGAAAGTCTTAAAGGAACGGGAGGTACAGAGCTCTATGGACAGATTTGTTGTGCAACAGAGGTCCAGTGACTCTCAAGCTGGTCCTAGTGGCATTAAAAGAAGAAGGGAAGTAAACCCGGAAAAGGACTTGCTACCTCAAGTCCTAATGGAAGGGGATTCCCCTTCTAAACAATAACTTCCACACTCTTCCCTCCTTCCATCCCATCAATCATCACCAGATCTTCAATAAAGGTAAGTGTCATGTACTGTATTCTTAGTAGAGTAGTAATTGTGCATGTCTTCTTCAGTTTGTGTGTATTAAAATTAATATTTCATGTGGTAAAAAAATTTTTTTTTCATACTTTGGGGTGTCAGGAACGGATTAATTTGATTTCCATTATTTCTTATGGGGAAAATTAATTCGGCTAACAATAATTTTGGCTTCCGGTGAGCTCTCAGGAACGGATTAATATCGTAAGGCGGGGGTCCACTGTACTTGCCTTATCCAAATATGAGCAAAAATTTGAAGATTTTTAATTTGGAAAAATACCATAAATTTGGAGCCTTTCCTGATAAGAAATATAGTGCTCCAGGTTTCTATTATGTATTCAGAATTTTACATTATTTGTACATCCCTTCTTTTGCATTAGTTCAAATAAGAGATACACATCACCGTATAACCAGAGTAATTTTTTAAGCGGTCATGCATTATCATATACTGTAAAATAATGTCTCATTTTCTTTCATAAAGGTGATGTATGGACATCAGAAATATTCGATCGTGAAGAGAGAGCTGAATTTGCCTTCACCGTGATGGCAATGGACATAGGTGGGCGCACTGGCTTCACCACACTTCACATTTCTGTTGATGATGTGAATGATAATAAACCCATATTTATGCAGTCAGATTATAAAGCAATTATTAGATCCAATGCTACTGCTGGATCTGTTGTAATGAAGGTAAGTTGAGGTTTTCATGTGTGATTTGAAGAGAATGCTTGTGCATTGAAAAATTGTAATGAATAAATGTAACATTTCAGTGGAGTGATTGAATTCAAATGTCTTGTCTGGGATGAACCTGTCCAGCACCTTAGCCACTGTAACTACAGAGGGTGGTTGGTGAAACCTCTGTAACTACAGAGGTGTCACCAACCAAAATCCTGGGAAGGTCTATGGTCACCAACTGCATCCCTATCACATTTTTTTATGGAAAATCCCAAACCTGACCAGCAGTTACACACATTACTTACCTTAAAATATTTTCATCCTTAGCTTATAGTGAGTGGCGAATATATTTATTGTAAGAAGTCTGAATAAACGAAGAATTGGTATAATTGAGAACTGCTGTTCAGGTCCCCCATCACAAATCCGGCATCATTGGGACTTGTAGTGTGCCGGATTACTGAGTTTGCCGGATTACAGAGTGGTTAGGTTAGAATGCAGTTAATAAAATTAACCAACTTGACTTACACAAGAAAGTTCATTGAACATTGGCAAAAATTGAACATTTCCGCTACTTTGAGCTCAATTTCAAGGTACTTTTCGCCTTGAAACCAATCAAAATCACATCTATTTCTGTAATATATCTTCCATTCTATCAAATGAGATAAAAAAAAATGAAAATACAACCATAAAAACCATACAAAAATATACCGTAAAGAGGCGGCTAATGGCTGAGAAGTGAACTCCCTTATTTATCGTCCGATTTTTTTTTCACTTTTGGCGTATGTTAAGAAGTATCTTTCCATCATACACTGCCCAAGTTTCAATAAGATAGCCCAACTAACAACTGAGAAAAAAAATATTTACCAAAACTCATATATGGCAAACCCAAGCCAGGTACTGGAAATAAGTCACTTTGTCTGGCTTTTTTGGGTTATCCTAGGTTCTCTGTACATACACTGCTATGTATGATAATCTGTGTAACTGTATTTGTGTATACCTGAATAAACTAACTAACTTCTGTTCTCTCGACTGAGTGCAGGAAACCGCCCATTCACCTATTTCAACTACCCAATAAAGTGGTCAGAAATTGGCAGTTTGGCCAATTCACACAAATTTCAACAGATGCCAATTTCAAAATAGGGTCCAGAATAAACAATGCAGACATTCCTGGCACTAAAATAACATTTTCTCTGTTCATTAGTCACGACTCCATGCCCCTCTTACCATTTGGAATTTTTATTCACACAAAAAAATAGAAGATTTACTGTTATGCCGACTACTGCATTATTGTAATAATTATATAAATAATGTTAGTTCATTCGTGACTGCATATTGGAAATTGGACTGGCAGGCGGACACATATTAAGACGGTGACTTCATTTGTTTACTCTTGAACATCGGCAAAAATCGAACATTTCCTCCACTTTGAGCTCAATTTCAAGGTACTTTTCATTGTGAAAGCAATGAAAATCATATCTGTTTCTGTAATATATCTTCCATTCTATTTAATGAGACCAAAAAAATGAGAATACAACCATAAAAACCATACAAGAATATACTGCTAAGAGGCGGCTAATGGCTGAGAAGTGAACTCCACTATTTATTGTCTGATTTCTTTTGTTTTTGGTGTACGTTAAGAAGCATCTTTCCATCATACATTGCCCAAGTTTTGATAAGATAGCCCAACAAACAGCTGAGAGAAAATAATAATAATAATAATAATAATAATAATAATATCTTTATTTTCTGAGTACATGTACATGGTATACAGGCCATAGCTGACATCAGTGACATACTACTATATAGAAAGCCCCTTGTTACGCTAAGCATTTCAAGCAAATTAAGTCAGCATTCCAGGATAAGACCCACACCAGTCCACTAACACCCAGGTACCCATTTACTGATGGGTGAACATAGACAACAGGTGTAAAGAAACATGCCCAATGTTTCTACCCTGGCTGGGAATCAAATATTTACTGAAAATCATATATGGCAAGCCCAAGCCAGGTACTAGAAATTAGCCACTTTGACATTTTTGGGTTATCCTAGGTTCTCTACACATATGCTGCTATGCATGATAATCTATGTAGAGAAAATAGCTTTTTTGTTTCAGTTTTGTGGTGCAGTACGAGTGGATATCAGTTAGCCATGTGCTATACTCCGTTTTCTCTAATACAAGTCAAGACAGGGATAGGAGAATGGTACACAAATAGCCCACACATAGAAGAGAGGAGCTTATGACAACGTCATAAGCTCCTCTCTTCTATGTGTGGGTTATTTGTGTATTGTTCCAGTCATGGTATTGTGCCTTTTTGTTATTTATAGGAGAATGGTACTTGTATTCCATATCCTCTTCATACCTCTGTCGAACCACTTGGTATTATGCCAAATATTATTAATTCTGGAGTATTTAACATGTTTTTAATTTATTTATATTGTTTATTATGTCATATTAGATCAATTGAGATAGGCAAATAAGCCGTAGTGTTGATATTAGCCAAATAATAAGCATATTTCCCTGCATCATTAGACTGAGCTCATGGCAACTGACAGTGGCTTCAAAGCCACCCTATCTTTTATGGACAATTCAAATTCAAATTTTCAAATTCAGAGTTTATTCTCTATAAGGATTACAATGCTGAGTTTACAGAATTTGGTTATTGTGTGGTTTACATGTAGTAAAATAATAATTACAGAGTGTACCACTAGAACACCTAGCATGGCTAGGCATTTCGGGCAGACTTAAATTAAATCTTAAGTTTAAAATATTACAAAATTATGTGGTAAGTTGGTGTTATGGCTAAGTGACTAAATACTAGTTTGTGAGTTTAGCAATGTGAATGCTTTTGTTTTGGCACTATAAAATAGTTTCAGCAATGGAGTATCACAGGCCCAAATTATGACTAGATAAGATTCATTATTTTGAGATTGAGATTGATATTTCTGTTTATGGTCAAATGGGTGAGTGAGTGTTATGTGTGAACCACCGGTGGTATTCGTGTAATTAGTTGGACAGGGTGTATCAGGGAGATAAGATGTGTTCTGATGGTAGTTTGTCTGTAGTTTTGCATTTTCAGGTAGGGTGTTGTTCCAGGTTTTAGGGCATTTGACATACATTTGAATTTTGTAAAGTTTTAGTCGGACACGGGGAATATCATAGAGATGTTTTGTGTCTGGTGTTGTGCTGTGGGTTCTGTCGCAAAACTATCAAGAAAGCGTTTTAGTGTCAAGGTTTAATATTGGAATTTAAGGTACGTAAATGTGATTGCACAGTAGTAAGTGTGGATGTACTGAACAGGGAGAGTAGTTTAGATCTATTGAAGGTGGGGGGGTGTGTTGCCAGGGAGATGGGATTTAGTGATTATTCTTAATGCGGCTTTTTGTTGGGTTATTATTGGTTTAGTGTATTGTTGCTGCAGTTGAACCCAAGGCATAGATAGATAGGTGAGGTATGGATTCTAAGTGAATGGTATAGTGTGAGAATAAGGGCAGTTTGCGGCATGTAGTATGTATCTGGGGAGAGGATCCCCAACCGTTTTTTGGATACTTTTTTGGTTATGTGCTGGATATGGGTGCTGAAGTTCAGGTTGTTGTCGAGATATAGGCTAGGGGAATTAGCCCTCATTATTTTTTTTTTGCCTGGCAATTAGAGTGTTGTCGATTTCTTAATGTTAATTTGCGCATTCCTGCTCTGCTACCAAAAATAATGTAGGTTTTGTCAGTGTTAAGCGTAAGTTTATTGGCATGTATCCAATGTCGATATTTTGTCAGCTCCTCATTAACAATGGTGTTGGGGTGGCCAAGATTAGGGTGAGAGATACATAACGTGTCTCAGCAAAGAGAAGGGGGGTTCAGGTGTTGAAACTTTGGAAGATATTGATGATATGAGGAAGAGAGGGGACCAAAGACACTTCCCTGCGGAACCCCAGTACAAGGGGCTGTGTTGTTGATGCTGTGTTTTTTAAATGGTAACAACGATATATTATAAGGTAAGTTTTGAAATAGCAAGCAATGGCCTCTTATACCAAATGGTCAATTTGGGGAGTGGAGCCGTGGCTACTGTGTAAAAAGTTTTTCTTAGGTCAAAAAAAAAATCTAGGGGAAAAATTTCCTTTTTTTTCCAGTGCTGGGGTAAAGCAATCTAGCTTTTTTGACGCTCTTTAATGTTTTTTTTTTTCCTGAATCCAAATTGGCGGGGTTTTGATAGTTTTTGCCGAAATAAATGAATAATTTCCCTGTGACGAGTTTTCAAAGATTTTGGATGCAATGGTAATTTGTAGGGGCCTTTAGTGTTTAAAATTGTAGATCACCATTTTTTGTATTGGTGTAACCCCTTTCCCGTTTTGGTGTTTCGGGAAAAGGTGCTAGTTTCTAGGACGTTAAAAAGTAATGAGATACAGGAGAGGACAGGGGCCGCTCTCTTTGTACAATAAGGGGACATGAGAAGTTTCCCCCGAGTTTTTTTTAAAGTGACTTTATAATCTCGGTGACTTCCGGGGCTAAATTTGGGAGCAAGATAGAAGGAAGGGGAAATTCCCTTAGGTACCCTGGGCATGGGAATTGGTACGTGGGTTTTTTTGGCGAGATTAGAACCTAGGGTTTGGGAAAAAAATCGTTTATTTGTTACTGTGTCAGGGGGATGCAGGGGTGTTTCATTGGTTTAGTTATCGGGATTTTCTGGGTTTTTTGGGAGAGATTGGGGGGTCAACCCCCCCGGGGCCCGGTCTGTGACCGCCCCCTTTAGGTCGTGTCCCGGGATGCGACCCCACCAGTCGCAACACCCGGGTCCCCATTTTATATGGGGGAACATAGACAACGGGTGAAAAAACACGTCCAATGTTTCTACTCTGGCTGGGATCAAACCCCGGGCCCTCACCGTGTAAAGCGGGGAGCGTAACCACCGGCCCACCAGACCCCTTTTAGTTGGGGCAATTTTCTTGTTTTTTCAGTTTGTGGGTCCCTAGAATCTGAGAGATTTTTTCCGGGTTTTTTTTTATATCTCCTTTTGTGTCAGTGAATCTACTGGAGTAGTATAGTTGTTTGGCTTTCTTTATTACTTTGGGGGGGAACTGATGAATAGTTTTTTAAATTTTTCGTGTATTAAGCCCTGTCTGTATTGCTTTTATATTGGTGCTTTTTATCAAGGATTCAGAATGGTGTGGTACCAGGGGGAAAACCAAACCGTTTTTTGTGATTGTTTGGTTTTTATGGACAATTTTTTTTTATTCTAAGTAATTTTTTAAGAAAATGTCTGCCCGGGGTCATCAATCCCATTGGCCTTGGAGAATTCTGTAGGCCAGTCAACAGTCTTGGGTAGCTGTGAACCCTTATTGGGGCCCTTCATCAGGGAGTCAAAAGAAATTTGTTGTATTCCATGGGGGTTTACTAATGTTTGTCAAGAGGAAGGTGGTAGGGTCTGTAGTGTATCTGGATTATCCCGTTTTAAAGGGGGGGCTAGAATTGTCCTAGTGGTCTATTATGGTTGCACTTTTCGGAGCCCCGGTTGGGTTTTTTGTTTTGTTGGTTAGAATGGTTGTTTATATTTTTGATGAAATAAGTTACAGGTGACATCTGTAGGCCAAAGGGTTTATGTTGAAAATCTCCAGTAAAGGAAGGTGGTGCTTTTATTTGCTGTTTGTTTTTTATGCCTTTTAATTTTTCACGAAATTTTGGGGTTTTTTTGGGGGGGTATCCGGTAAATGGCCCGATTGTTATAGTTCTTTAGGTTTTTTTTTCATAAAATACCAAAAAAATGTATTCTCCATATTTATCACTAACAATGGTGAATACAAGATAATTGGTTAGAGTAATAATTGCAAACCACCCCAAATTGGGATGGGCTCAGTTGTGGATTGCTGTGTATCCCGGTGAGGGTAGAATCTATTGTGTCCTTAAACCCGGGCTCAGAAAAATAATCAGGGAAAGGGGTGTCTTTATGATTCAAGGAGTGCAGGGGGTCATCATAGGTTCTTAAGGACCTAATTTTTTAGTTAATACTGATAACTTTTAGCATTTTTAATAGTGCTTTGTGAGCGTGTAGTAAAGCAGTTACTTTCCAAAGGTTTTGTTGTGTGTCAGATTATGGAGGTTTTAAACATGGTGAAAGTGATCAATCTCTTCTAGGTTAAATATGTTATTTATACCTGAGTTGTTGGGGTTATTTTATATGATATCTGTAGTTGTGGGAAGTTTGTACAAGTGTATGCATAGCATTTGGTCATGTAGAGTATAGTCACTAATACACATAATGGAGTTGGTGTTGTCTATGTGTTGTGCGGAATGAGCTAAAAACAAATAGGTTTTAAAAATAATAATATAAAAATACAAATTAAAAATCAAAGACTCCAATTGTAATTGCACAAAGGTCTTGTAATGATTTGGTATGTCTATGTATTGAGCTAGAATGAGCTATATACAACTAGGTTTAAATTAATTATAAAAAAACAAATTAAAAATAGCACCAGACTCTCATAGTAATTTCACAGGTCTAAAAAAAGAATTTGGATTGACTATGTATTGAGCTAAAGACTTGTCAATGGTTTAACTAAGATTAAAAAAGGCACAAGACTCTCAATTTTAATTGCACTAAGGGGTTTTTATGTTGTTTACAAAATTAAGTATAACTAGATTTTAAAATTGACAAGTTAAAAATATGAAATTAAGGGAGCAAAAAAAATAAAAAAAAGTAAAAAAAAAATTTATGAGGTAGTTGGTACTAGTTAGCAAAAGATAGTTAAGGGCCTTGAACAATAATATAATTGAAATATACACTAATTGCACACACAATATAATCACTAAAATATGAAAACAATCTTAGAATAGGACTTATAATATAAACTTATAATATAAAAATACAAATTGAAATGATACTTGCAATTACACAATGAGAAACATTTCTTTTATTCTTTGGAACCATGGCTAGGGCTAAAAGTAAGCAGGTTATAACAATAAATGGAGAAAAAGAAATTGGAATGACTTATGCAGCAAGTAGTGCCATCAAACAGTACCAGCAGGTTGGTGTGGCAACCCTGGAAATTTGAAATTATGCTAGCCAAAATTAGTGCCGAATAACTGATGGAACCAGGTAACTGAGTGCTGGATTTGTGATGGCAGACCTGTATTAGCAAAATGCTACACAAATAAGTCGCACATAGAAGAGAGGAGCTTATGACGACGTTTCGGTCTGACTTAGACCATTTACAAAGTCACACTAATGAAAAGGAGAGAAGGAGGGAGTATATATAGGCCAGGAGGTGGTAGTGGTAGTACTGGAGGTAGAAGGTAGTAGTGGGGGGAGGTAGTATGGTGGAGGTGCAGCCAGTCAAATACTAAGAAAGAGGAGCACTGCAAGGGAGCTAGGAGCCCACAGAGGGTAGGAGCAAGAATATCACCCTTCTTTGTTCTTGCTCCTACCCTCTGTGGGCACCTAGCTACCTTGCAGTGCTCCTCTTTCTTAGTATTTGACTGGCTCCACCTCCACTGTACTACCTCCCTCACTACTACCTTCTACCTCCACTACTACCACTACCACCTCCTGGCCTATATATACTCCCTCCTCTCCTTTTCGTTGTTGTGACTTTGTAAATGGTCCAAGTCGGACCGAAACGTCGTCATAAGCTCCTCTCTTCTATGTGCGGGTTATTTGTGTATCGTTCCAGTCAGTGCCTTTTTTTGTTATTTAGCAAAATGCTGTTGTAAAGTGAAGCACTGTAAAGCAGGATCCTCTTGTACATATTTGTAGATACTAGATCAGAGCTTTAACTGTGGTGTCCCATATTCAAGGTTTTGTTTGCCCAGTAATGTAGATTTATAAAATATACAACTCCACAACAGTTGAAGCATAGTGATCACTACAAATAAGTAATTACACTGCCTGTTTCTGGATCTTATTCCGACTATCCACCACTCTAATCATGTTGAAACATTTTTGTGTGCTCTTCGTGCACTAATTATTGTAATTACAAGGGGTGTCTTTATATGTTGTGTTTGTTTGTTTTTGTGTATTTATATGAGAGATCTTTGTATTTGGTGTGTTAGTATGTAATATTTGTTTTTATATGTTGTATCTGTATATGATGGTAGGATTGCTGGTGTCTATTTGCTGTCTCATAAACATGCAAGATTTCAGGTACGTCTTGCTACTTCTACTTACACTTAGGTCACACTACACATGCATGTATAAGCATATACAGTGGACCCCCGCTTTACGATCAGCTCACAATGCGACCAATTATGTAAGTGTATTTATGTAAGTGCGTTTGTACGTGTATGTTTGGGGGTCTGAAATTGACTAATCTAATTCACAATATTCCTTATGGGAACAAATTCGTTCAGTAATGGCACCTGAACATACTTCTGGAATGAAATAATATCGTAAACCGGGGGTCCACTGTATATGCACACTCCTCTGGAGTGTGCATATACAGTGGAAGGAGGGGTGTTAATGTTGCAGTTTAAAAACTGTAGTGTAAAGCACCCTTCTGGCAAGACAGTGATGGAGTGAATGATGGTGAAAGTTTTTCTTTTTCGGGCCACCCTGCCTTGGTGGGAATCGGCCGGTGTGATAATAAAAAAAAAAAAAAAATAGTTCTTGTTCTTGTTTATTTTCTTTTATCTCCATGGAGAAGTGGAACAGAATTCTTCCTCCATAAGCCATGCATGTCGTAAGAGGCGGCTAAACTGCCAGGAACAAGGGGCTAGTAATCCCTTCTCCTGTATACATTACTAAAGTTAAAAAGAGAAACTTTTGTTTTTCTTTTTGGGCCACCCTGCTTCAGTGGGATACGGCCAGTTTGTTGAAAAAAAAAAGATTTCTATATGATATTTATGTACATACATACATGCATTTGTGTGTGTGCGTGTGCATGTATGAGCATGTGTATGTATGTGCGCGTGCATGCATGTGTGTGTGTGTGTGTGTACATGTACATACTCACCTGTTTGTGGTTGCAGGGATCGAGACTCAGCTCCTGGCCTCACTTCTTCACTGATCACTACTAGGGCCTCTCTCTCCCTGCTCCATGAGCTTTATCATACCTCATCTTAAAGCTATGTATGGTTCCTGCCTCCACTACATCACTTGCCAGACTATTCCACTTCCTGTGTGTGTGTGTGTGTGTGTGTGTGTGTGTGTGTGTGTGTGTGTGTGTGTGTGTGTGTGTGTGTGTGTGTGTGTGTGTGTGTGTACTTACCTTTATGTGGTTATAGAGGTTGAGTCATAGCTCCTGGCCCCATGTGTGTGTGCATGCACATACACTCATTCTAAGTTTACAAGATGTGCATGCTGTCAAGTGTCATATGCTGGCTTAGGGTGTTTGTTACCATTCTTTAGGCACTGTATGACCCCCATGGGCTTAATGCTTTCCTATGATTTAATAATAATACTATAATAATAATACTATCATAATAATAATAATAATAATTTTATAATAATTTTTACTCTATGTTCATATTAGGTGGTCGCTGGGGATGCAGATGCTGGTGAAAATGGAACGGTGTCATACCGTTTTCATAGTTCAGCTTTACCAGACACAATGGCTGCATTCTCTCTAAACTCAGTAACTGGCGAAGTAACAATGAAGAGAAACGCACGTGATTTGGGTAAGTATCATGTATAGCAATGAACCATAAATATAGCAGGCTAGTAAGGAGGAGCAGATGGCTAATAATGGCAATTGTGGTGGATAGAAGAGATTGTTTTGCTGTGATCATAAGAATAAGACTTTTCCTTTTTTCTCAGTTGATTGACCCAGCAAATTTAGTTCCACATTTCTGAAGTCCCTTATATACAGGTCTATTATATCAAGGATTTACTTTATTACTAGATTCCGTTCATTGCATTTTGCACACTGTATCTAGTTATGCCTGAACCTGCCCTATCTTTTTTTAATCATTAACCAGCAAATTAGCCCATCTTTAGATTCTGTTCGTCATATCAGCATTGATTACACCACACTCAAAACATCTACTTATATAATTTAAACTATGGTAAACATTTCAGTTATTTTTTTTAAAAGTAAAAAAAAAACATGTTTAGCTTTCAGTTTTGAAAGCTTAAACTTTGCTCAACTATTTTGTATTCATGGATGCTTCCAAAATCACTGTAATGCAGACAGATGTTAGCAGTATATGTATTTAAATTAGACAAGGAGACACTTGTGTAACACTTGGTATCTGTTATGGAAACAGTTTGCCAATCATTGGTTTTTATCAGTCCATTAAAGTGAAAATAATGATAAACCACTGGTTGGTGAAATGTTTACTCAGTAAAGATACCCAAGTGTTGCCTCATTTGTCAGCTTGTCAGTTTAGAGGGGGACCCAATACCTCTTTCAGATGGGAGAAGTTCAAGTACATTCCATTTACCTATTTCCTAGGTAGTAGGTTGGTAGACAGCAACCACCCAGGGAAGTACTACCGTCCTGCCAGATGACTGTGAAACAAAAACCTGTAACTGTTTTGCATGATGGTAGGATTGCTGGTTTCTTTTTCTGTCTCATAAACACGCTAAGATAACAGGGATATCTTGCTACTCCTACTTACACTTTGGTCACACTTCACAGACACGCACATGCATATATATATATACATACATCTAGGTTTTTCTCTTTTTTCTAAATAGCTCTTGTTCTTTTTTTATTTCTTCTATTGTCCATGGGGAAGTGGAAAAGAATCTTTCCTCCGTAAGCCATGCGTGTCGTATGAGGCGACTAAAATGCCGGGAGCAATGGGCTAGTAACCCCTTCTCCTGTATACAATTACTAAAAAAGAGAAGAAGAAAAACTTTATAAAACTGGGTTGCTTAAATGTGCGTGGATGTAGTGCGGATGACAAGAAACAGATGATTGCTGATGTTATGAATGAAAAGAAGTTGGATGTCCTGGCCCTAAGCGAAACAAAGCTGAAGGGGGTAGGAGAGTTTTCAGTGGGGGGAAATAAATGGGATTAAATCTGGAGTATCTGAGAGAGTTAGAGCAAAGGAAGGGGTAGCAGTAATGTTAAATGATCAGTTATGGAAGGAGAAAAGAGAATATGGATGTGTAAATTCAAGAATTATGTGGATTAAAGTAAAGGTTGGATGCGAGAAGTGGGTCATAATAAGCGTGTATGCACCTGGAGAAGAGAGGAATGCAGAGGAGAGAGAGAGATTTTGGGAGATGTTAAGTGAATGTATAGGAGCCTTTGAACCAAGTGAGAGAGTAATTGTGGTAGGGGACTTGAATGCTAAAGTAGGAGAAACTTTTAGAGAGGGTGTGGTAGGTAAGTTTGGGGTGCCAGGTGTAAATGATAATGGGAGCCCTTTGATTGAACTTTGTATAGAAAGGGGTTTAGTTATAGGTAATACATATTTTAAGAAAAAGAGGATAAATAAGTATACACGATATGATGTAGGGCGAAATGACAGTAGTTTGTTGGATTATGTATTGGTAGATAAAAGACTGTTGAGTAGACTTCAGGATGTACATGTTTATAGAGGGGCCACAGATATATCAGATCACTTTCTAGTTGTAGCTATACTGAGAGTAAAAGGTAGATGGGATACAAGGAGAATAGAAGCATCAGGGAAGAGAGAGGTGAAGGTTTATAAACTAAAAGAGGAGGCAGTTAGGGTAAGATATAAACAGCTATTGGAGGATAGATGGGCTAATGAGAGCATAGGCAATGGGGTCGAAGAGGTATGGGGTAGGTTTAAAAAAAGTAGTGTTAGAGTGTTCAGCAGAAGTTTGTGGTTACAGGAAAGTGGGTCCAGGAGGGAAGAGGAGCGATTGGTGGAATGATGATGTAAAGAGAGTAGTAAGGGAGAAAAAGTTAGCATATGAGAAGTTTTTACAAAGTAGAGTGATGCAAGGAGGGAAGAGTATATGGAGAAAAGAGAGAAGTTAAGAGAGTGGTGAAGCAATGTAAAAAGAGAGCAAATGAGAGAGTGGGTGAGATGTTATCAACAAATTTTGTTGAAAATAAGAAAAAGTTTTTGGAGTGAGATTAACAAGTTAAGAAAGCCTAGAGAACAAATGGATTTGTCAGTTAAAAATAGGAGAGGAGAGTTATTAAATGGAGAGTTAGAGGTATTGGGAAGATGGAAGGAATATTTTGAGGAATTGTTAAATGTTGATGAAGATAGGGAAGCTGTGATTTCGTGTATAGGGCAAGGAGGAATAACATCTTGTAGGAGTGAGGAAGAGCCAGTTGTGAGTGTGGGGGAAGTTCGTGAGGCAGTAGGTAAAATGAAAGGGGGTAAGGCAGCCGGGATTGATGGGATAAAGATAGAAATGTTAAAAGCAGGTGGGGATATAGTTTTGGAGTGGTTGGTGCAATTATTTAATAAATGTATGGAAGAGGGTAAGGTACCTAGGGATTGGCAGAGAGCATGCATAGTTCCTTTGTATAAAGGCAAAGGGGATAAAAGAGAGTGCAAAAATTATAGGGGGATAAGTCTGTTGAGTGTACCTGGAAAAGTGTATGGTAGAGTTATAATTGAAAGAATTAAGAGTAAGACGGAGAATAGGATAGCAGATGAACAAGGAGGCTTTAGGAAAGGTAGGGGTGTGTGGACCAGGTGTTTACAGTGAAACATATAAGTGAACAGTATTTAGATAAGGCTAAAGAGGTCTTTGTGGCATTTATGGATTTGGAAAAGGCGTATGACAGGGTGGATAGGGGGGCAATGTGGCAGATGTTGCAAGTGTATGGTGTAGGAGGTAGGTTACTGAAAGCAGTGAAGAGTTTTTACGAGGATAGTGAGGCTCAAGTTAGAGTATGTAGGAAAGAGGGAAATTTTTTCCCAGTAAAAGTAGGCCTTAGACAAGGATGTGTGATGTCACCGTGGTTGTTTAATATATTTATAGATGGGGTTGTAAGAGAAGTAAATGCGAGGGTTTTGGCAAGAGGCGTGGAGTTAAAAGATAAAGAATCACACAACAAAGTGGGAGTTGTCACAGCTGCTCTTTGCTGTTTGACACTGTGCTCTTGGGAGATTCTGAAGAGAAGTTGCAGAGATTGGTGGATAAATTTTTGGTAGGGTGTGCAAAAGAAGAAAAATTAAAGGTGAATACGGGGAAAGAGAAAGGGTTTTATGGGGGATAACAAAAGATTAGGTGATGAAAGATTGAATATCAGATTGGAGGGAGAGAGTATGGAGGAGGTGAACGTATTCAGATTTTTGGGGAGTGGACGTGTCAGCGGATGGGTCTATGAAAGATGAGGTGAATCATAAAATTTGATGAGGGAAAAAGAGTGAGTGGGTGCATTTTGGAGTCTGGGGAAACAAAGAACTTTGTCCTTGGAGGCAAAGAGGGGAAGGGTATGAGAGTATAGTTTTACCAACGCTCTTATATGGGTGTGAAGCGTGGGGTGATGAATGTTGCAGCGAGGAGAAGGCTGGAGGCAGTGGAGATGTCATGTCTGAGGGCAATGTGTGGTGTAAATATAATGCAGAGAATTCGTGTTTGAAGTTAGGAGGAGGTGGGGGGATTACCAAAAACTGTTGTCCAGAGGGCTGAGGAAGGGTTGTTGAGGTGGTTCGGACATGTAGAGAGGAATGGAGCGAAACAGAAAGACTTCAAGAGTGTATCAGTCTGTAGTGGAAGGAAGGCGGGGTAGGGGTCGGCCTAGGAAGGGTTGAGGGAGGGGGTAAAGGAGGTTTTGTGTGCGAGGGGCTTGGACTTCCAGCAGGCATGCGTGAGCGTGTTTGATAGGAGTGAATGGAGACAAATGGTTTTTAATACTTGACGTGCTGTTGGAGTGTGAGCAAAGTAACATTTATGAAGGGATTCAGGGAAACCGGCAGGCCGGACTTGAGTCCTGGAGATGGGAAGTACAGTGCCTGCACTCTGAAGGAGGGGTGTTAATGTTGCAGTTTAAAAACTGTAGTGTAAAGCACCCTTCTGGCAAGACAGTGATGGAGTGAATGATGGTGAAAGTTTTTCTTTTTCGGGCCACCCTGCCTTGGTGGGAATCGGCCGGTGTGATAATAAAAAATATCACTTTCAATATTATACTATAATCATAAGCTAGTGATTAAAAAGCATAGCCAGTATCTTTTTCTTCAAAATACACTTGAATATGCATTGGATAAAATGGAAAAAATACATAAAACTTAATTCCTGGTATATTGATTTTTTTAACATTTCATTTTCTTCATGCAAGAATATTAATGAAACAATTTATAGTTGCTCAAGAACATTTCATATTTATTTACTTTTGCATACAGCATCATCAGTCTCTTTAGGTTAAATATTAAATGATAAATTATGAAATCATGGTGAGCAAGAACAGTTATAAATATGCAGTAATATAATCCATCCCATTCTCCGATGTAATGTATGTGGGATTAATGTCACTGTAAGTGGCATTAATCCCACTGTGCTGCCATTCATAAGCCTCCCATTCATGTAATTATGTTAGTGTCACTTAACTATAAGTAGATATAGGCTAATTTTGGTTAGCATAGGTTAGGGTGATCTAATTTATCATTTTTATTTTATTAACACATTGGCCATTTCCCACCAGGGTAGGGTGGCCCGAAAAAGGAAAACTTGCATCATTCACTCTATCACTGTCATGCCAGAAGCGTGTTTACACTACAGTTATAAAACTGCAAT